AAGTTTAAGAAAACTGTTCGAGTACATTGTAGGGTCTGGGTAGGTCTTTTGAAGAAAGGGCCACAGGTTTGAGTCGGCCTGTCCATACAGATGGCATACGAGCCCCGGCCATCGTGTAGCCCAACCGATATTAGTCAAGATCGACGACCCGAAGCGCGACACTACCGCCAGCAAGACATTTGAGTAGGACGAGGAAATACTCAAAATCACCAGAAAGTTTCTAAATATGAACTAACATTATAAGCCTACACTATACTCCCATTTACATACTAACGAAATTCCTAGCAATTAGTCCTATGAATATTCAAATAACCAATACCTCCCAGATATAAAAACAGTTTCGATTGGTGAGGATGAGGATTCTTCATGGGTATCTGATTATCCTGAAGTACAAGAGTCGTATAAGAGAAACATTGAGTACTGATATGCCTCTACACTTTGAAACTTTTGATTACAGAGTCGTGCAGTTCGTTTGTTTTAAAGAAGCGCGAATCTGAGATTATGCTAGACCAATTTGTAAGGTTTTTTTTTAGCATGAGAATGCTTGTTTATTAAAACTAGCTATATAAAATCACCATATAGCCAATAGGAGTAAAGCAATGCCTGTAAACACTTGTTAAATTTTGTTCCAGGTAAGTATAATAATCAGTAAATGAACAACAACACTTGCTGTTATTGACGAAACACTCAAAATGCAAGTGTTAAATGCTCTAATTATTTTTAAATTTACTTTTTAATTTCGAATGCCGCTAAATTACTTGCGAATATAGGTTTATACCTTTGTGGTATGCATAAAATATAAAGAAAGGTAAACCTATAAAGTAAATTTCTAAGTACAAGCACGGTTGTTTGGTCAATATTGTAACAATAACACTTGAACCGTACTAAAATTTATTCCTATCCAAAGTCGTAATATTTTCAGTGTAGCCATAAACTAAGTAGTTTCTTTTACATAGTTTATACATATTGGTAAGTTTATATATTAAAATTCGTTGTGTTGTATGTGTAACAGTTTCTGAGACATAAAAATAGTGTAATGTGTGTGTGTGTGTCAAATTGTTATTATTATTCTGCAGGTAACTTTATTTTTTTTATTTACCTGACGTTCCCTCGGTTGTTTAATTTATTTTCATTAATATTTTCCACCAACTCCGCCAGAAGGAGGGTTTTTGTTTTTCTAGTGCATCGAGTTAAACAACATCCATGTTCTACTTATGGTAGCTGGCATACTATGGCGGCTTGATGGATTTTGGCCTTAGAGGCGTTAGATTCGTGTTAACTCTGAGAGTGACACTGGGTTTGTAAAAACTTTAAATACACACGAGTATTTACCCAAACATTTTCAAGCAGTCGAGTTTTTATTTATTGATTGTCTTGTTTAGGAATAATTTACCAAAATGACGTGCTACAGTCATACATAATACACTTAAGGACGTTAGAAAGTTATCAGTACGTTGTAAAATGTCAAACAAACAATAACCCGTGTTTATTATCTAGCTATTGTTGAATGTCGCGATAATTGAAGACAATGGTGGTGTATGTTAGCACGCTCCAGTGGGTGTCAGCAGGCGCTTACATACGTTTATAGGTTATATATTCAGTGGGTTTCAAATTTTGCTCAGTTCCAGGTCAATTCCTGTATGACAGATCTGTTTCTTTGAATATTAATCCTTTTACATACATATAGATATAAAGAAACTCCTTCAGTACAAATATTTTATGACCTTAGTATAAACTATAATATTTGACAAACCTGAAGAGTTTATAATCACATTTAAAATTTAATAAAATATGTTTGGTATGTTGATGTATATATTATTAACATGTGTTACACATCCATACTAATATTATAAATGCGAAAGTGTGTGTTCTGTCTTTCTGTCTGTTACCTCTTTACGCTTAAACCATTGAAACGATTTAGATGAAATTTTGTATAGAGATAGTCCGAGTCCTGGGAAAGGACTAAGGTAAGTTTTTATCTTAGAAATCATGCTTTAAGGGGGAGGGGGGAAGGGGGGGAGTTTGTATGGGAAATCAATCACCGCTTAACCGATTTTGATGAAATTTAGTATGGAGATACTTGAAGAAAGACATAGGCTAAGACCAACATTTACGTGGGCTGAGCCGCGACCAAAAGCTAGTTTTATATATAGATAAATAATAATCAGTCCTTTACTGGAGTTAGTCAAACTTGGTTTAAACTTAAATGGAATTTAAATGTAATTGTAGAAATAAAGCACGTAGTCTTTTCTTAACCAAGTAGTACCTTCCCAATAGTGGTTTCGACCTACCGGGACTGTTCTGTGGTCTGTCTTTTTAGCATTAATTGTGCAATAGTTTAAAAGTTTTAGGCTATAGACTTCTGCTTGAATAATCTTATTCCTACTGAATTGGTGTAGTTCTTTATCAATTTAGTATTTGCTATAGAAAACTGCCACTACACCGCATTTCTATCGGGTACTGTCTATCCTAATTTGTAAAAGTATAATCTTTAGAAGTAATAAAGTAACTCGAGTAGATATATTCCGATGCTTTAAAGGCACCGCTTACGGCTTGAAATCTCTTTGCCCAAAAAAATATTACAGATTTTGCGTAATTTAATGTGTAACGCTACTTTTTTTTAAAGGAAGACAAAAACTATATGAAGAATGCAAAAATACACATGCCTATAAACTTCCTGGGGTTCCTATTCACAAAACATGTAATAACACAACTATCGAAAAACATGTGTTGCGCTACAGAAACAGACCACCCCCGGTGACTCAGGGCTGACATTTTTTACTAATTTATCCCTCTGACATGTGTTTGCAGATAAGCTAGTATATTTAGACGTCACGGATCGGGAACGACACGACTACTTTTGAAAGTAATCTCTGTTAATTTCATACAGCTCTTGCAAATGAAATTGAACGTAATTACTTTGTAATATTGCTTTTGACTGCAGTCTCTTCACATCATCATTACGTATAATACAACAGACACAACAACAAACGCACAATACAATAAGTATCTACAATATACTAACTTTTAAACTTTCGCGTTCCATGATAATTAATATTATTTAACGGGAATTAACGCGATCTCTTATTTAGGGTATTACATACCTCTGGTTTGCCTGACGTTTCGACCAGGTTGCACCGGCCGTGGTCACAGACTGACTGTGTCAGCCTGTGACCACGGCCGGTGCAAGCAACCTAACAGACGTTATATCATAGACATTACGTATAGGTTGCACCGGCCGTGGTCACAGACTGACTGTGTCAGCCTGTGACCACGGCCGGTGCAACCTGGTCGAAACGTCAGGCAAACCAGAGGTATGTAATACCCTAAATAAGAGATCGCGTTAATTCCCGTTAAATAATATTAATTAACTACAATATGTAGAAAAAATACATTAGATAAACCAAAAGACGTAATGTCTATGATATAACGTCTGTTCGTTCCATCGATCATAGGCTGTTAAAAGTGCGTGTAGATCTGTAGATAAACAAAACACAGAATTCACTATGAAAAAATAGTAAAAAACATCGTATATTTTTAGTTCGCATATCAATTAAAATGTGTTCTTCTAAACTAATTTGTTTTTGTTTAAATATATTTTATAATTAGAGCACAACATTATAATAAAAAACATATTGTTATTGGTAGTATAAAAATTAAGCCATTATAGAGCATACAAATGTAATCAATGCTTATGTAAAAACTACAAAACCTTAATATTTTTACCAAATAATCCAAAAAACAAGACCAATGAAATAGCATCAACGTAACAAAACCACAACTTCTGTTAAACGTTACCCAAAAATGTCGTGTACTCTAAACACTTCTGTTGTCTTCCAAAATCGAGTTTTAAGCAGGTCTGATTTATGGGCCCCGAGTTACGGTGTCGTGAGACAAGTAGGCCCTTCAAAGATTCCGTACGTGACATCTGAATGCCCTCAGCAACGTTTTTAAGAATTTCTCAAGTGTTTAAAATATCGCAAAATGTGAAACCGACGTCCAAGAAGGTTTTGCTTATCTTGAGGTGTAAGAATCCAAAGAATGCCACGATTTTACTGTAGTGTAATATAACACTTTGATTTGGTATTTTTAGCGTTTTTTTTTTATTATTGACTATTCCAAGTTGACAGATACTTGGCCATCATTGAGAGCTTTTGACATAAAAATATTCGAAAATTTGAATGTGACAAATGCAACGTTATATTTGATTGGTTTATATATGATTAGTTGAATAATACCGAATGACTCATGAAATTACGTTTGTGTAGAATTTTTATTGATTTATAAGTCTTTGTAAGAGATTTTGATCCAAATATCGTTTAGCGTTTAACAATGCTTCTATTATTGAATTCGTCGTTTATTCACAAAATTTACGTTTAAGGCCCTTACATTGCTCAAATCGTAAAAAACGCCCAGGTTTAAAAAAAAATTTAGCCGAATCCTTTGGTTTATTTGCTACAAAAAAAATATGTTTTAGAGCTAAGCTCGTCACAATTTATTTGTATTGTTTAAAATTTTTATATATTTGACCATTATTACAAAAGAAAATCAAATACAAAGGCTGTTTTAAATCTATTTGGTATTATTTCTCAAGAACGGCTCAACAGTTTAAGATTAAATTTATATTATAATATTTGTTAAGTTATACTAAAAAAAATGTATTGTTTTTATTGTATTTTTGTTAAATATATTTCTTAAAATATAGTAAAACATAATTCGGCCCCTTTTCGCCCCTCGAAGCTCCCCCGCTATGGCCAGTTACGGATATTCGCCAGTGTCGGTTCGACTCTTGCGACAGGTGGACTGCGCGCGCGTTATTTTCGGAAAAAAATATTAAAAAGTTCGCAATATTTAAAATTTATAAAATCAGATTTGTTGTAAATAAAACGTACATTAATAATAGTTGATAAAAAATTAGGAATTAAGTTGATTTATGTAAATAAAATTGTTTTTAGTTTTAGTATTGAATATAATCGTATCATAGAATAGAAAGCTTGACAATGCCGAAACACAAAAGCAAGTCAAAAGTGAAGCGTGGCCAAGCTCTTCAAAATTATTGGTAATTATTTTTTTTTCTTTGGCGTAAATAAATACATTTATACAGGGTATGGCAGCGTTCCTAGAACTGTCGTGTTCACTTCTATTGTATAGGCGGGGAATTTCTTGAGCCGCAAATAAGCTTGGTACTACAAAAACGTCTATTGAAAAAATATAAAGTATTATGAACATGACCATTTTTGGCTGGTCTGATGCTACAGTTCTGCACTCCGAAGGTGGGTACGGGATCTTAGTGACGGAACCACGTAGAACTATCGTGTTTGTACTCATTTAAAAGGGCTCGCAGTTATCTAGCTGTTCGTGACGATTTCACTTACCTGATGCTGCACTCCGAAGTAGTCCGAGGGTGGGTACGGGATCTTAGTGACGGAACCACGTAGAACTATCGTGTTTGTACTCATTTGAAAGGGCTCGCAGTCATCTAGCTGTCCGTGATGATTTCATTTACCTGATTCTGCACTCCGAAGTAGTCCGAAGGTGGGTACGGGATCTCAGTGACGGAACCTCGTAGAACCATCGTGTTTGTACTCATTTGAAAAGGCTCGCAGTTATTTGGCTGTCGGTGATGATTTCATTTACCTGATTCTGCACTCCGAAGTAGTCCGAAGGTGGGTACGGGATCTCAGTGACGGAACCTCGTAGAACCATCGTGTTTGTACTCATTTGAAAAGGCTCGCAGTTATTTGGCTGTCCGTGATGATTTCACTTACCTGATGCTGCACTCCGAAGTAGTCCGAAGGTGGGTACGGGATCTCAGTGACGGAACCTCGTAGAACCATCGTGTTTGTACTCATTTGAAAAGGCTCGCAGTTATTTGGCTGTCCGTGATGATTTCACTTACCTGATGCTGCACTCCGAAGTAGTCCGAAGGTGGGTACGGGATCTCAGTGACGGAACCTCGTAGAACCATCGTGTTTGTACTCATATGAAAAGGCTCGCAGTTATTTGGCTGTCCGTGATGATTTCATTTACCTGATTCTGCACTCCGAAGTAGTCCGAAGGTGGGTACGGGATCTCAGTGACGGAACCTCGTAGAACCATCGTGTTTGTACTCATTTGAAAAGGCTCGCAGTTATTTGGCTGTCCGTGATGATTTCACTTACCTGATGCTGCACTCCGAAGTAGTCCGAAGGTGGGTACGGGATCTCAGTGACGGAACCTCGTAGAACCATCGTGTTTGTACTCATTTGAAAGGGCTCGCAGTTATTTGGCTGTCCGTGATGATTTCAATTACCTGATGCTGCACTCCGAAGTAGTTCGAATGTGGGTATGGGATCTCAGTGACGGAACCACGTAGAACCATCGTGTTTGTACTCATTTCAAAGGGCTCGCAGTTATCTAGCTGTCCGTGATGATTTCACTTAACTTTTCTGAAAATGCTTTTATTGTACTCTTTTGTTGAGAGTGACTGTTGCGATAATATTTCTAATTTAACTTCATGTTTTTAGGCATTTGAGAAATCAGCGGAAATCCCATTCAGAAAATCTGGACAAAGATCCGTCAACTGAATCATTACATTCATCTACGACTATTGAAGAAACTCACGATCCGTTTGGTATGGCAGTTGATGAGGAGACTTCGTCGCCGGATATTACGGTAGCTACTTCTTACAATTAAGAGTGCAAGTGTTTTTTTAATGTTGTTAAATTGAACTTTGACTCTGGGTCCCCATTGCGCATTGATAACCATTAATTTTTGGTAATTAAAAACGTATTGAGGAAACCGACAAGTCTAAGAACCCATAAAATCCTATAGGGTCAGTAAAAAATAAGCAATATCATATTATACACGGCAGTTTTTGTATATGAATTTAGCAATATATTACATGATAATTATTTTGTTCTCAGCTTCCACAAGATCACATCTTACCGGAATTAACTATTGAAAAGAATCAACCAGAGACAGAAAAAAGAAATATATTTGGCAGACGAATTGTTGATGTACAATACTTTTTTTCAAAATTGCAAGAAATCAGCAATCATAGCCCCTATAACTGTGGAGTACAAAGTTTAAAAATTGTTGGAGAGAAACGAGTTGGATTGTCATCCAAGTTGACTCTAGAGTGTTTAATGTGTAAAGGAAAGTTTTTATTAAATAATGTCCCAGGTGATCTGGAAATAAATACAGAAGCAGTCGCGGGTTTGTCGATGTGTAAAGAAAAGTATATTCTAAATGTCTCCGGTGATCTGGACATAAATACAGCTGCGGTTGCTGGTGCAGTTTCTGTTGGCATAGGCTACTCACAATTAGAGGAATTACTATCAGCGATCGATTTACCTATGATGACTGAGCCTCTGTACCAAAAACAGCACGAGTTTGTTTCTAACGCCTGGGAAAAAGCACTTGGTCAATCCATGCAAGAAGCTGCAGAAGAAGAAAAAAGAATTTCTTTAGAAAAAGGTCGTGTGACCACTGATGGCATTCCTATTATAGATGTTATTGTTGATGGATGCTGGAGTAAGCGGTCTTATAAAAAGAATTACTCTGCACTTTCAGGAGCTGCTGCCATAATCGGAAGAGAAACGAAAAAAATTTTGTTTCTCGGTGTTAAAAATAAGTACTGCAGCATATGTGCACAAGATTGTAACAAAAATCAAACTCCAAGAGCTCATCAGTGTTACAAAAATTTCACGGGTGCATCTACTGCCATGGAATCTGCCCTGATAGTAGAAGGTTTTAAATCATCCGTTGAAATGTACGGTTTGATTTATGGACGTCTAATTTCTGACGGAGATTCTAGCACGTATTCTAAAATATTAGAAGCAAGACCTTACCCTCAATTTACAGTCGAAAAAGTAGAGTGCAGAAATCACCTTTTAAGAAACTTGTGCAACAAACTTGAAAACCTGATCACAGATACAAAATATCCCATACATCTTAGAAAATTAATTACAAAAAAACGCATAATGACCATTAGGTCCACAATTAGAAAATGCATCAAAAAATATTATAATTCTACAGAGACTTTAGATTTTTGCACTCACAAACTTTTTGAGGACATTCAAACTGTACATTTACATGCCTTCGGGAATCACACCAACTGTAAAAACCATTTCTGTAATCTTCGTCAAACTGAAACTGAATCAGTAACGTCGGATTTTTTCACAAGTTCTTTATGGCAGAGAATATGTTTTATAATTAATAGTATTGCTGGCCATTCAAGAAGTCTGGTTCATAATGTTGATAGTAACATCGTAGAATGTTTTCACAGCGTTGTGGCCAAGTTAGTTGGGGGTAAAAGAGTAAATTACTCTCTGCGACGTGGCTATCAAACTAGGTGTTCGGCTTCTGCGATTACGTTCAATACTAAAAGAAAACCTACTACAATATTGTACAAAACAATTGTTGGCAAAAGCCCTAAAGGCCGAATGAGCACTTTCGATAATAAGTATCAGAAACTCAGAGGCTTGAAGAAACGCGCCAATTATAAAAATCCACAGAAGACGTGTGATGCTATAATTCAAAATAAAGATTATGGTGAACAAAGCTCTAAGCCGGATGTGAGTGATGATGTTCTTAATTTAATGAAGGAAACTTTTCTATCCACTTTAAAAAAAAGTGAAGAAGAAAGAACACGGATCGAGCGGCAGACCATTTTGCAAAGCGAGTCTAGCGAATGGCTTGAACTTAGACGTTCTTTGTTGACAGCTTCGAACTTTGGCAAAGTGATCAAAATGAAACCAGACACTAGTTGTGCCAATATAGTAAAACAATTGCTATACAAAATTAATATAGAGGCTGTTCCTTTGCAGCACGGAAGAGAATATGAAAAAAAAGCGCTACAACAATTATCTACTCAAGAAGCAGTGGATATAAGACATTGCGGGCTTTATATAGATCCCGAAATTCCGTATTTGGGGGCCACACCAGATGGGATTATAGACGAAGAAACAATAGTGGAGGTTAAGTGTCCAATAACTGCATTTAAGACAGGACTAGAGGAAGCTATTACAAAAAAAAAAGTTAATTTTTGGATTAAAGACAAATCAGGTAATTTAGAGATAAATAAAAATCACAACTGGTACTACCAGGTACAAGGGCAGTTGCACGTGACTCGCAAATCCAAATGTGTATTCGCTGTATGGTTCAGTGAGTCGCAACCACTGAAAACGGAAATAATTTATAGGGATGATGATTATTTTGAAAATAAAATGAAGCCAAAATTATGCAATTTTTATTTAAATTGTATATTGCCTGAAATTTTAGACCCAAGACATACCAGAAATATGGAAATACGTAATCCAACCTATATAATGGAAGCTATAAAGAAAAAAGAAGAGAAAAAGAAACTTGAAATCTCCAAGAGGAAAATACAACGCATAATTCCAATTGCTGAGCAAGAAGAAAATACAACGCTTTCCTTATATCAAGAATCGATACGGTCGTCAACACCAGTAATTCCAGAAGCGGAACAACCAACCTGTTCACGATACTTAAATTATAATGAATTTTAACTTGCACAAAATATTCAACGGTTGATTTAATCTTGACAGATTTATGGTGTGTCTAAAATGTTAAGATAACATAATTAAAAAAGTACGCAAAGTTTATTTCCTCTTTTACTTAATTTAGCACTTACACATATGAACCAGATCATCATTAGACCTTCAGAATATTTATCGTAGCACCATCCGTGATAAATATGACAGTCACTGAAAACTAAATCTTCCTAACCATTTCCATTGCTGAGAACCACTTGATACTTATCTGGTCATCCACATACCTCCACAAAGCGTCACGTAGAAGCGTCAGTGCTGAATATGAGAGTTTCTGAAAACTAAATCTTCCTAACCATTTCCATTGCTGAGAACCACTTGACACTTACCTGGTCATCCACATACCTCCACAAAGCGTCACGTAGAAGCGTCAGTGCTGAATATGAGAGTTTCTGAAAACTAAATCTTCCTAACCATTTCCATTGCTGAGAACCACTTGACACTTACCTGGTCATCCACATACCTTCACAAAGCGTCACGCAGCAGCGTCTGTGCTGAATATGAGAGTTTCTGAAAACTAAATCTTCCTAACCATTTCCATTGCTGAGAACCACTTGACACTTACCTGGTCATCCACATACCTTCACAAAGTGTCACGCAGCAGCGTCTGTGCTGAATATGAGAGTTTCTGAAAACTAAATCTTCCTAACCATTTCCATTGCTGAGAACCACTTGACACTTACCTGGTCATCCACATACCTTCACAAAGTGTCACGCAGCAGCGTCTGTGCTGAATATGAGAGTTTCTGAAAACTAAATCTTCCTAACCATTTCCATTGCTGAGAACCACTTGATACTTATCTGGTCATCCACATACCTCCACAAAGCGTCACGTAGAAGCGTCCGTGCTGAATATGGGAATGAATATTGTTACAAGGTCTAAAGTAAAAAATAAGGTATTTCACTAGGTACTACGTCTCTCAGAGGTCGAATAAAATTATGCAAATAAGTTCTCATGTCATATCTAATCGTTAATCTTTGTCTACTATTTACGTAGTGCCATTGTAGTACGTCTGTCTTTTGGTAGGTGTCGCTAAATTTAAACAGTCTAAATCGTCAAGGTCACTGATCATTGTAGAAGCCTTAAGTTGAACTTAGTACCAGAGACATTTTCTCCTAGTGTTACTTAAACTATTAATATTTCATCAATATTTAACAATACAGTTATTCACTAAAATTTTGATTGTCTTGATGGAGCTAATAAATGCAAGGAGCGACTGCTCAAATGAGGAATAGGTATACCGGCTTGCAAAAGCCACGAAGTTGCTTGGGCCTCGTCACAGTAGCGATAAACTCAACGAGAGAGGTGAACAGTAGCTCTAACCACAGTCAGTAGTGCAAAAGAACAAAAAAGTCCAAATGGATTCCAACTCAAAATACGTGGTATAATAATAAAACAAATTAGTCAGAGATAATCAAGAAAATAGAACAACATATCGAAACAGTAGCAGCGGAAACATGCAATGATCATCATTCACTTAAATTACATATTACGCCATTTTGCGCTCGTCTGATATAAGTTTCTGACGATATAAATGGCAATGGACTTTTATACATCCTACAGTTACCATAATATGAAAATTAATGAAAGAATTATTAGATCATTTCGTATATATATGGAGACGAGGCCCGTCGACTTGCAGATGGAAATCGAGTAGTTTCTGAAGACACGATTAAACAGCAAACACCAAGTATTGTTTCTGAATTTATTGATAACGCTCATGAAATATTGCTTTTATAAATTTAAAAGGCATTCTTCTTCTTTTATTCTTTAATTAATAATAGAAAGATTATATTCCAAAATAATATAAAGTAAATTAAAAAAATACACTCCTAGTAGCATCCTCATTCTGTATTCAAATGAAGACACCATTTTTGTATCTAAATGAAACAGATTGTTGAGTTTATATAAATATTCAGGAACTTAACTGAATTTTCTTCTAAAACGTCACAAATATAAACGGTAGCATCTTAAATCACGTTTCTCCATATAAACATAACTGTCTCATACATACGGTCGTCCGTGATAAATCTTTTCGTACCATCCAATTGTCCACAAGTAGGTCATCTGATTGTGTCCCTACCTATTTACTGTCATGTCTTTGTATTTGAGTTTTTTCCTGTTTCAATTTTCTTTTGTGTCCCCGCTTGTATTAAGTTGTATCCTACTATTCATTGTAGGAAGAGAACCACTGTGTATATTTCTTTTATCTTATCTGTCATCATATCTTAACGGTCCTTAGCTGTATGTTTAGTTAGACAGAGATGAGATACTTTCATGGCGATATTCTACGTTACTTACATATTATTATTTACTCATTCCAAATAATCTAGAGTTTAAAGGTAAGTCACGAATATAAGGATTTTCATATACAAGTATTTAGAATATTTTTTAACTGTAACTGCTTTTATTCGTATACACATTAAGTAGACAGTTTCGGCACTAGTGATACCACGGCCTCACAAAATCATTTCTGTCGGTGCTTTTCATCGAGTGAGTTAGGTTACCTGAGATCCCATTCAGCCCCTCACCCTATAAGCTATTGTTTCAACAGTTGTTAGTATTACACATAGATTGCGAGCCACTAAATGGCAGACTACATTTGATTGCTTGAAAACTTTGCACTTGGTGTAATGGTCAGTTATTCTGACTGCTAAGCTAGAGATTGTGGGGTTTATTCCAGGACGATTGAATGAAAAGCACAATTAGTTCTTTTGTTTCTAGTATAGTAATTCTTAATACACACGTATTATCCCTACATGGGCTCTATCGAGTTTAGAATCAGATGTGTGTGATGTGTGTTAGATGTGATCTTACTATTATTTAATTTTAATGGACTACTAAACGTAATTGTAACTAAAAGTTATTTAAATTTTATGAACTTTGTTCGAATATTAAACTTTTGTAAACCACAAAACCTTCGGAGTAGTTGAAATGAAAACAAAATTTGAGTTTCAAATTCTAGATTGTTACACTTCGTATAACTGTAATCCTAGTAACAAGGGCTAAATGAGGCAGGCATTTAGTAGTGCCGGTACAAAATACAAACGAGACGCCTGCGTCCGCTCAATCCGGGCAGGTTGGAGTTATGACGGCCAAGAGTCCATTTGATGTCCAGTTAAGGAGCAAGTCTAGAGTGAAAGCGGGCAACATATTCTGTATTAATTAAGGGTTTTCGTGAAGTGATTACTTTTATAAAGTTTGCATATATGAATGAATGATTGTTATTCAATTATGCCAGAACGGCTGAATGGAATTGGAAATTTGGCACAGATATAGATGGAGTAGCTATTTTAAACTTAGCAAAATTATATAAGCGATAATATAGGTGACTAAATAGACATTAAAGCCAAGGTTATATTTATGTAGATCGATTCTTAGCTTTCATACTTTCAAGAGAATATTATATTAATTGCATTAATATTATGAACGCGATTTTTTGTGAGATGATTGTGTGACATCGCAACAGACCGGACAGCAGAAGAGACAAGGTATTTATCATCATCATCCACCATCAACAGCCTTTAACGGTCTACTGCTGGATATAGGCCTATCCTTACAAAGGAGGTTTTGGCCTACTATACCAAGCTGGTCAAACGGGTTGGGGGTTTTCTAATTTTTCCTTCTATTTGCATTGCTGTTGTCTTGCTCCTTTAGTCAGCTCATACGACGCCCACGGGATGGATAGGGGTTTTTTACACTTCGTATTCTTAAACAAATATTATTGTTGATTCAAAAATGTATCTTATTTTTGAATTTGGTATTACTTGACACACTCATATACAGCCGTCTGATCACAAACTAAGCAGAACCTATATTCGTCTTGTAATCAGCTTTTCTATAAACATACTTATATATTTCTATATACGTATTATAGAGAAATACATTTACATTATTTTACATATATTTATTATTTTTATTTTTTATTAAGTTTATTTATCATAGCTCATCAGTATGTACTTTCGTTTTATCCTTTGGAAGCTTGTACCAGCTTTTATGTTTAACTTGTGCTTATATTGGAATTTCTAATCAATTAATTAATCTTTCTTATTTATATAAATTTAGATTAAGTAAATAATAAACCGATTAAATCACATCACATCTAAAGCCTTTAATAGTCCACTGTTGGGCATAGGCCTCTCCTTAGAAAGGGGGTTTTGGCCTACTAAACCACGCTGGCCAGACGGGCTGTTATAGGGTTTTTGTTTAATTTTCCTTCTTTTTACAGTGCTGTTTTCCTGAGTAGTTTGCTCCCTTAGTCGGGTCCTACGACACAAGCGGGATGAATAGGGATGGTGCCATTTCATATTCTTAATCCGACACCACACGGATGGACCACCGATAAAATATTAAAAGGAAATAATTAGACTATTTTATCAAAGACAATTGTTATTTCTATTTTGTGTACCTGACACTTGAGTCATAAACATTTAGAGTTTAAAATCAAGTTCCTTATTGTCCAATAGTCTATATACAAAATTCTCTTTTCATTACTCCTCGTTTCTATACTGTCTGTAAACAATTGACAAGAATATAAATGGGTTCTTTTTCAAAGAGTGAATGTACCGCTTTGCTCCATTAGTCTTCATCAATGCAGTAACAATAGTTACTGATTTAGATATTTGACTGAGGTTGTTTCAAATCAGGAGTTTATTCCTAGCCTATAAAAAGCATGACTTTAAATCAGATCATCCATCCCTATCCCTTTCATAATATTGGCACTTCATCGCTGTGCACTTTTCAATAAACATTTTGCCTCGCACTTAAAATTAACCATTTACCAAACTTTTACAAAGACATCGTCGACATTTGCATCAGTGACAAGTCATCGGGAGGCCATTGGTCTTACATAATTAGTAGAATAGGAAAAGTGCAAAACTATTCCGACGACATTCCATCGACAGTCTATTGATACAATATTAAAATAGCAGAATTGAGGCCCAATTTGTTTGCCCCC